ACTCCCCTTTCCAGACACGGCCTGCCATTGAGCCGGGGGGTGTGGGTTGCTGGGCATGTAGAGTAGCGGTCCAAGGCTCGGATTAGCTTCCCCAAATTCCCCCATGGGCATGGGCAATTTTGCCAAACTGATATTGCCCATCCCCCATGTGTGGTGCATTGGTAGATTGGCGCATTGGCTGACCGTATCCGCACATTGGATTGGATTCCCAACGCTACCCTTCGCACCTGCCCTGGGTCCACGGGTTCCTCGAGCGGCGATATTGACGTATATAAGGCAAGTGCGTCCCAGCAACCTCCTGCCGAACTCCATCCTGACCCTGCTCCCACCTCCCCTCCATTTCAAGGACTTGGCTCGAGGTTCCCCAGGATTTGGATCGTCCCGCTTCTTCTTCCTGTCCTCGACTCCGCCCCTTCCCCAAACACAACACCCGCCCCGGCAACAAAACAAAACACGCCATCATGGGTGCCCCGCCCCCCGAGGTGTCCACTCCCCCGGACGTCCCGACCACCGAGTCGGACAGCGTCACCAACGAGAAGGGCATCACCAAGCCGCAGTACGCCGAAAACGCCGACCACCTCGAGAGCGCCCCCTGGGACGCCGTCGCTACCAAGAAGCTCCTCCGCCGCATCGACCTACACCTCATCCCCTTCTTGGCCCTGCTTTATCTTCTTTCCTTCCTGGACCGCACCAACATCGGCAATGCCCGTCTCGACACGCTCGAGGCCGATCTCGGCCTGGACAAGTCCAAGAACCAGTACAACGATGCGCTGGCCATCTTTTTTCCGTTTTACGTCGCCGCGGAAATCCCGTCCAACATGGCCATGAAGCGGTGGAGGCCGTCGATTTGGATTCCCAGCATCATGATCGCGTGGGGTGTGTGCTGCACGCTCATGGGTGTTGTGCACAACTATGCGGGTTTGATGGCGGCGCGATCGGCGCTGGGTGTTGCGGAGGGTGGTTTGTTTCCGGGTATCACTTATTAGTGAGTTTGACCTCAAGGGGGGAATTATGAGTGAGGCTAACTTGGGGTAGTATCACCATGTGGTACAGGCGCCATGAGTGTGGTCTGAGAATGGCCATTTTCTTCTCGGCAGCTACGGCTGCGGGTGCTTTCGGCGGTCTCTTGGCGCGTGGTATCATGGAGATGCGTGGCGTTGCGGGACTCTCGGGCTGGAACTGGATTTTTATCTTGGAGGGAATCCTCACCATCATCATTGGTAGGTCTTTCCGCTCGAGATGGATTTGGAACGGCAAAACTGACAAGTGACAGCCCTCTTCGCTTTCTGGGCCATGTACGACTACCCGGCCACGGCCAAGTTCCTGTCGCCAGCGGAGAAGCAGGAGGTCAGCAACCGCCTCAAGCTCGACCGCTCCTCGCTCGCCGACGAGTTCGACATGAAGTACTTCTGGGCTGCCCTCAAGGACTGGAAGATTTGGGTGCACATGTTCATCACCATTGGCGTCTACACCGGTCTCTACTCGTACGCTCTGTTCCTGCCCACCATCGTCCGCGATCTCGGCACGTACAACGCCCACACCTCACAGCTCATGACGGTACCCCCGTACGTCGTTGCCTGTCTCTTCTGCATTGGCGCGGGTTGGTACGCCGACAAGAAGGGCCAGCGTGGTATTTTCATGATTGGCTTCATGTGCATGGCGTATGTCCCCTCCCCCTTTCCCCTTTACTCTTGGAAGGGTTTCGTATCTAACAGATGGCAGCATCGTCGGATTGATCATGCTCATTGCTACGCAGAACCCCGGTGTCAAGTACGCCGGCTGCTTCCTCCTCGCCTCTGGTATCTACCCCAACGTGCCTCAGGGTGTTGCCTGGAACGGCAACAACATCGGTGGTTCGCTCAAGCGCGGTGTTGGCATTGCCATGCACGTCGGCTTCGGCAACCTCGGCGGTACCATCTCGGCCTACCTCTACCTCGCCAAGGACGGTCCCCGCTACTACTCCGGCCACGGTACTCTCTTGGGATGCCAGTTCATGGCACTCTGCCTGTCTATCTTCATGACCATCTACCTGCGCCGCGAGAACGCCAGGAGGGACCGCGAGTACAAGCCCCCGAGCGAGTACACCGAGGAGGAGCGATATGCCGAGCGCGAGAAGGGCGACAATGCCACCTTCTTCCGTTATACCATCTAATTGATCAATCATGCATGAGAGCGGGAGCATGATGGGAGCGCGAGGGGCGCGAGTTTCCTGTTTATATATCGTATGCTATACCATAACGAGTTGAACATACTCCATGGGTGGAAAATTGATGTCTTTTTTTGTTGCATGCATTCTATCTTGCTGTGAACGCGGGCTTGGGCGTGCGGTGCGTGATCGCTGGGGTGGGGACATGGGGACATTAGAGATTTTCATGGTGGCGGTGAACTGGAATGGGCGTCCTCCATCCGGGTCGGATGTCGACAGCACGCGACTCTCGCAAAGTCGGGACGCGAGGGAAGGGGAAGGGTCATGTGATATACATGTGACTGGATGCCAAGATCTCCTTCAATGCCCTCGCAATCCTGTCTGCCAGCGGCCCGGGAGGATGGGCTATTCCGGTTTTGGTGTGTCGTGTCGAGTTCAGCTGGTTGCCACACGCTGAGTCTTGCTAATGAGACAGTGATGACAGCAGTCAAGATTCCCACCATCGCACAGCAGCCGTTGTCTCTTTCGGGGCGTGGCACGGCCGCGATCGCGATGAGACAGGAGCACTAACACCACAGGGGTAACGCAACAGAGGGTATCTAAGATCTCTTGTCCATCCTCACGGGAACATCCGCGTCACTTTTCTTGGTTTTTAGATTTATCTGAAGATTTTTGCATCACATCGTCAAAGACGCGTCGCTGTCGGCTGCTGTCTTATTTTAGAAGGTAAGCTGACTGTTGCCGGAAGCTTGACCTGTGAGCTTGAGTAAGCCGCTCACAAATGACAGACGAGGCTCCTTGATTGGTCGGGAATGACTGGATATTATCATTCGGGGCAGTGATGTCTTGTCGTTGATGCCAATGAGTGCTTGGGACGTTGCCAATCCACGTTTTGTTTTCTGTTTTTCTTCCACTTTTGAAGAAGGGGGTTTCACTCAATATTTTTCTTTTCCTTGGAAAAAAAAAACTGGAGCTTTCCCCCGTGCGGCTGTAAAAAGAAGCGCCTATCGATCCATCGGCTTCAACACCTTGGTTCGTCCTCAAACTGGACCACAGCGCCAAGCATGCGCATCGCACTCTGTCTCAGCGCGACGACAAGCGTCCTTCTCGCGACCTTGCCACAGACGTCATGGGCCGACCACTCGGCCGAGGTGCAATGTTACGCCCCCGACGGGTCCCTAGCGCCAAACGACACCGTTGTTCCATGCAATAACCTCGGCATCACGCAGTCGGGCATCCAGTCGAGCTGTTGTCAACTCCAGGGCAATGAGGACTCTCGAGATCTCTGCACGGCAACCGGTCTTTGTCTGAACAATGGCATCGTACGGAGAGGATACTGCACCGACAAGACGTTTAACAATCCACATTGTGTCAAGGTTTGCGATAAGCCAAACGTACTGGCCCCGTTTCCCATTTCGGCTCTCCCAACATCAACTAACCACCTTCTAGGCCGGTGGAAACCCAAATGGCTTCGCCGAAATGACCTCCTGCACTGACGGCACCTACTGCTGGTACGTCCCCCCCCCCCCCGTCCCCCCTCTCCTCCCTCTCCTCCTCCCCTGAGTCCCTTTCCTCTTATTCTCAATCTATCCCCTCTAACACTTTTTGCGTGTCTCCCAGCGGCCGCAACAACCTAACCTGCTGCGGCACCCCCTGGGCCATCGAACCCCCTACCGTCGTCTCCTCCGCCCTCACCACAACCGTAACCGCCTCCGCCTCTTCCTCCCCATCCAACACCCGCACCCTCGCCGGCCTCGGAGCCGCCCTCGGCGCCGTCCTCTTCCTCGCCTTAGGCGCAACCTTCTACCTCCTCCGCCGCATCCAAAAGCTAAAATCCTCCCTTGCTGATTCCCAGCCGCTACTGGATAGACACTCGGCTGAGTTGCATAACCTGCGTGGAATGGGAATGATAGGAAAGTCCCCGCTGGGGAGTCCCAGTCCGAGTGGGCACGGGACGCCGAAGCATATGCTCGCGGCGAGTCCGGCGATGTTACCTGCCAGCGCGGGCGGGACGGGGATGCAAGAGGCGGAGTTTGAGAGGTTGAAGGGGATGTATGATAGTGCGTTGTTGACACAGGGGCAGAGGAGAGGGAGTGCGCCGACTGCGGGTGTAACGGGAGGGGGGTTGGATTATTTGTTTAGGGCGAGTGAGCTGGATGGGGCGGGGGTGCAGCAGAGGGGGTTGGATGCGCGAGGGAATCAGGTTTATGAGGTTCCTGGGCAAGGACTGGGGAGGCAGGCTTGGAATACGAGTCCGGGGCTGTCGCCGATGCGGAATGAGAGGATGGGGAGGCAGCAGGGTGGGTCAATGTATTGAGGGTGGTGTTTTGTTCAGGGTAATTTGGAAGGAATAACTGCATTTCGGTGGGATGGGACTAGAGGGCAACAACTTGGGACTACTGCATTGAGCTGGCAGCATAGCACGGAGTTAGAACAGGAGCTTTTTCTTGTCTTTAGTGTTTTGTAAAGCCTAAGTTCTAATGACTTGGATGGATGCATTTTTGGTGACATTTGAGGCATATGAAGGTTCAAAATAGGGGGTCGGCACATTTACTTGCAAACTTGGAAACTGCAAAACGAAAATAGTTGTGCTGGTAAATCTGTTGATTTCTCCCTGACTTCCATGCGGTAGCTCCGTGTAGCTTCGCGAGGACTAAAAGGGTTTCAAGTTCCTCCCCAGCGGAACCCGACAACATCCCTCACCCTGTGCTCTATCTCTCCGGCTGGGACAGGTCCGCACATGGTAAACTACGAATTGTACCGCATACCTGCCCACAAAAAGCAAAAGAAGCCCCGGTGTCCCAACATTCGGAGTGGAAATGGAAAAGGGGGCACTTGAGGGAAGTGACGATGTCGTCGCCTGCAGGATTCGAACCGGTGACCCCGAAGGGACTGCCTGATCTGCGGAGGCAGCAGGGCGACGCTTTAACCACTCAGTCAAAGCGACGTGCGGACATGTTTCGATGGGGAAGAGAGAATTCATTGAGGGTGGGTGCACAATGGAGGGGTTGTGGGCTGGCTTGTGGATGCCCCTTTTCAGATGTGGAGCCATCATCACCCTATCCCTTTTCAGAGCGCATCGGACTGTCTGGCATCCCGAGATGACGAGGCAGTTCAATGCTGCCAAACTCATGGGAAAACTTTTTCAAAACCATGAACCCTTCGTCAGCGGTGTGTCTACGGAATTTGAGGGCTCGCGGCTACCACAGTTCGTGGGCAACACGCATGGCTTGAGATCAGTGACTTTTACCTTAAGCACGATGCCCATGACGGTTCATTGATGATGGAACAATTTGGATTCTGCCACGACATCTCCTACAAATAACCAAACTTTTATCCCATCCCATAAACCCCCGCAAAAACAACTCCCCTGGATCGACACCCGATCAAACACAAATACCCCCACAATCAGCCCTGGAAACAGTTCATTGTTAGCTCAACCCTCAAACGAAGCAACATGAAGGGACCCCGAAATCAAAGCACCCCACCCCACCACTTAGACACAAAGAAAGAGTACTCACCCCCCATTCAAAGGATCACAATCATCCCTCGGATCATCCACACAAATCTTCCCCTCATCCTTACACGCAAACCCCGCAAACCCCCCGCAAAACTCGGGCTGCACACATATCCCCGGCCGATCACAAGCCATACCACACCCCTTCACCCGCGGATCATCCACGCAGATGTACCCCTTGGGACATCCCACCTGCTCAATGCGCATGCCGCCGCATGATTGATACGTCGGACGCGGTGTGCGCGTCGGTTTGGTAGGGGATGTACGCTTGGTGGATGTGGGCCGCGGTTTGGTCGGGATGGTGGGTTTGGCGGCGGGGATGCAGCGGCCGGCGCAGTTTTCGCCGCGGTCGCAGAGGGGGTCGAGTTTTTCGCAGATGTAGGATGTTGGGCAGGGGGCGATTTTGAAGCCGCAGGGGCGGTAGTCGTCGGCGGCCAGGGCGGTGGCGCCGAGGAGGGAGGCGAGTAGGAGGGGGAGGTGCATTTCGGCGAGTTTGATCGGAGTTGCGGGTCTAGGAAGGGTTAAGGGTGGAGGGGGTTGGATGGTGATGTTTGGCGAAGAGGGGGTCTGGATATCTGGCATTTATAGCCGGATTACAAAAGGTGCTGATGTTTTCGGGGATATCTGGAGGGTAGCAGCGTCATATCGAGTAATACGTAGAAATACGAAGAGGCGTTTTGCGGATGTGGCTATACAAAGCTCAGGGGTGAGGTCCCGGTAGCGAGTCCTGATCGAGGTGGGAGCGCAGCAAAGTAATTTTTTTAATTTTTTCGTCGCACCAGACAATCTCGCAGTCATGACCCCAGCGGGGAAGACATTTGCCACTTTTTTTCCAGGGACGAAGCGGAGAGTTTCAGCCCGGAGACCCGTTCGGGTGTCGCTTTCGTCGTTCAGTGGTTGCATCCCATTCCAGTGGTTTTGTCGGTTGCTATTTTTAGGGGCTGGATAATATCCTGTTCCTGGCGCCAAGACCGCGGAGGCTGGAATCCGGGGAAGGGAGAAGACGCAGCATTCCACAGCCGCAAGGGCGGTCGGGATGTGTTCCAGTTGATCGGCGTGAGACGCGTGAGACGGGTTAGGATTGGTCCGCGTCAGGTCAACATCTCGTATTATTTTCTCTTTTTGACCTTCCTGATATTACTTTCAAACAGTCCGACTCCTCTCATAGATCTACTTCCGATCATCAACATCACAAACCGGCCCCGAGCCCGCCTCCACTCATTCGAAATCTCCGGATGAAGATTGTAGGAAAACCTCTTTTCCCAAATATACACACTCACATCACTCAAGTACACCCTCGGCGCCTCTTCCCAGCAACCCTGGTCCGTGACCTCGGCTTTTCTCTCCGATATACCTGCTTTTGTTAGAATCGAGAAAAATAGAAAGGGAAAACTAGACATGCGATACAAGATCTTGCGCCAGTGCCGTAGGGTGTCAGTGGGGTTTCTGTAGTTTTGAATAGGACGAGAGCCGCGGGCTATGGCGTTAACGCAGTAGCGGGCCCAGCCCCATTCGTTCCACCAGGTAACTTATTGGATGGTAAGTGCACGGGGGGCTTCTGGTCGTGGTGGTTGGGGGATGATCTCGTTGGATGGTGTGGTTGGAGGGGGCCGGAGGAGGTGGAGGCGATGATGTAGTCGGTTTCTTTTTTTTTTTTGGGGGGGGGGGGGGGGGGGGGGGGTGCTTGTGCTGCTTGGTTTTGGGGGGATGGAAGAAGTGGATGGGAGTTTCGAGGTCGGATTTAGCACCATTGAGCTAGAAGTAGTTCCGATTACCGAAGAGGGCGGAGGTGGCGAGGGAACAGAGGTTCCCTTTTGAGGCGATGAGAGCCTGCGATTAGAGGTCCCTTTTGGTGACTGCGTCCAAGGCGTGAGAGTTGCAGCCGGGGCTGAAAGAATCGCCGAGGGCCTTGATTCCGTTCGGAATATCGGCATGCTTGTCGGCGAACAGCATTCTGCCCCTCGGTTGCATGAAAATTTTGACCCTTGGGGTGACCAGGGCAGCCACCATCGCCGTGCTCAGAAGCCGGGCAAGAATGATGATAAGGAGGTTTGAATTCATCTTGTCCTTAAGGAGTCGGTTGCTGTGCAAGTTTGACAGATCACTGGAACGGGATGAGATGCATGGCCATAACGGCAGAGTGAAGCCAGCGAGTCTATTCCATCGATATCTGTACCCTCCCAGGCTAGCCAGCCTGGCGACCCTCTAAAGCTCTATTCAAGCTGGCATCACAAATGTCCCAGAGCTATCCAACTCCGAATCGGGGGGACGACGAGATATAACCACGCTTGAGACATCGAGCCCCTAACCACTCAATACCATGGCATCAAAGCAGGATACCCCTGTCCCGCTCCCAATATGGTACCCTGTGTTGGATATTGTCACTTCCCTCTGCTGGGCCTTATTAAGGGGCTAGAAATAAGTCTCCAGTCGCAATCCTTCCCTCATTGGTGTTTAGTAGTTCTTTGTTGGCGGTGGGTGGTGTCGGGCGTAGCCCCCCTCCAGCTTTTTGCGAAGCCTAGTTCTTTTCCGCTAGGAACAATGCCCGAAACAACAGTCAACAACAAGCACTGTGGATACCAACAAACCGACGTGAAATCGAACGCCAACTATCATCCACGCGTGAGGAGAACGGCCCCTTTTGCTTCTCCTGTCTCCTTCATTTCCCTTCCTTTCTTGCGTTCCTTCTTTCTTCCCTTTCATACGCCCTTACCATCCGACCCTCCACAGACCCCCTCCAGCTAATACTGAAACCTCCACCTAACATCATCATCCCCCTCCCAATCCGTCAACCCCCCCACCTCCTTCACCTCCGCCCCCAACCTTTCCCTCTTCGTATTCTCCCTCTTCAGCACCACATACAAAACCGAACTAACCAACGCATTCCCCACCAGATACGCCATCGCAAAGCTATGCCCCACAATGAACCTTGGTCCATCCCCCGAGCGGTACAACTGCGTCCCCAGCACGGCACCAAGATTACCAATCGAAATTTGCATACCGTTGGCTACGGCGCGCTTAGTCTGGCCCGAGACGTTGATAGCCGGCCAGGAGAGGGAGAGGGCGGTAGCGGGGAAGATTCCGCCGGCGGCGAAGAAAGTGCCTGCGTAAGAGACGCCGGGACGGCCGATGGGGTCTTTGTTGGAGAGGAGGATGGCGTAGCCGATGGTGGCGAAGAGGGAGGAGGCGATGATGAAGAGGGCGCGCTGGTTGAGGCGCTCAGACACAGTAGCGACGGTGAGGGTGGTGATGAAGGCGAAGGCGTAGGGCGGGACGGTCAGCAACTGAGAAATGGCGGGGGGGTAGCCGAGGGCGTTGATGATGGTCGGGAGGAAGAGGGAGAAGGTGTAGAGGGGGAGGGAGGTGGTGTGGAAGCCTAGACCGTAGAGCCAGCACTTGGGATCGCGGAGGGCGCGGCGCACGTTGGCCCAGGAGAAGCGCTCGTCGTGAGTGGCGTCGCTGTCCGAGGAGAGACGCGCGTGGATGAATTTGCGCTCCTTGTCGGTGAGGAATTCGGCGGTGTCAGGGTAGTTGTAGATGAACCAGTAGGCGAAAATGGCGACGACGACGGTGGCGATGCCTTCGAGAATGAAGATCCAGCGCCAGCCGTTTTCCCAGACGATACCTCGCATAAAGCCGATGCCCTGAAGGAGTCAGCTTCGCGTTTGTGGCACTACCCCTGAACCCCTGACTTACATATGCCAGAATACCGCCAAACGATCCGGCCAACGCTGCGGCACTGAAGAACAGCGAGATGCGGAACTGCCTTTCCCTCCGCTTATACCACATGGAAAAGTAGTAGACCACACCTGGGAACAGCCCTGACTCGGTCACACCGAGGAAGAAGCGCGCCACAAAGAAGCCAGCCAGATTCTGAACTATACCCATCAGCGTCGCCACGATACCCCACAGTACCGTCAGCGTCGGCAGCCAGAACCGAGGCGTAGTCCTCTTGAGGATGATATTGCAGGGGATCTACTCCAGTTTATCAGCCCCTTCCTTTATCTCGAAATCTGTCATGAAACTTACCTCAAAAATGACATAGCCCACAAAATACAGAGTCAACCCAGTCAGGTACTGATTCCCCGTCATGTGCAAATCCGTCGCCAGCCCCTCGATGCGCGCATTGCCAACATTGCTGCGGTCCAGAAACGAAAGCAAATACAAGATGCCTACAGCCGGCAACAGCCGCCAGTCCAGCTTGCGCAACAAGCTCTTCTCGTTGACGGTAGAGAAGTCATCGTCGACATCCGAGGTAGACCCAGATGCCGGATCGGACTTATCTTTGTCCACATGGACCTTGGCATCTCCGTCAAGCAATGGTGGCGGCGCCTCTTGCATGGCTGTGGGCTCGGCGGTCATAATTGTGTGGTGTTGGCGCGGGTGGCGTTTTGCTGGGCGACCACGCGACCCGGGAATTTCAATGATGT